AATATAAATGTCTGAATATGAATTGTAATTATATGAACTTGTGTAATTCTTAGCTTTTATATAATAATTTCAAATTAAAATTGGAAATGTTAATTAAAATTTTAATCATATATATTGATTTTTCATATTTTTTCGTAAAAAAAATTTATGCACGCTATTATGAAAAAGCAAATTTTATGAATAAATGATGTAATCTAACCTATATAAATTTTAACTTTTAACATAGACATTAAATAAAAATTAATAAACTTTAAAGGAAAAGTTTAAAGTACTGTATTTTCTTTGTATATTCAATTTGTTTAGGAAAACATGTTTTGACCATTTTATGATTTTTTACTTTAATGTATTATCTGTTTTTGTTTTCTATGGTAGACATATTGTTTAATCTTTTATGTGCATTAGTTGAAATTATTGTGAGGAGCCAGGGGCAAGAGCTCTCAAAACTTGAACTCTGTGTCTCTTAATTGGCACGCAATTGGTTAGATTGACTCGCAATGTCAAAGGTTGGCTTCCTAAGACTTAAATTAAAGAACAGAAGTTCGTAAGAAACCCCTGGAAGTTGTTTTTCCTGACACCAGCCTGGATATAGCATTAGGCATGCTCAATTTCTCTTTTTAGAGGAATTTCGAGTGGGAGTTGCGAGTAAGTGCAGTGGACGTAGGCTCAGGCTTGAGTCAATAAGGAGACCAATATTTTAAACAATAACAATGAATTTAATAAAATAAAAATCAAAAAAATTACAATAAACCTCAATACAATAAAACAACCTCTAAATCCTTAAACTATCCTACTGCCAAGAGAGAGCTTACATATACATGAAATTATACTAACTCGACTTATGTAATATTCGTAGTCTTCTATAGGAGCTTGGGAGATGGATAATGTGATTTGGGAGAATAAATCTTCAATCACTTTTCTGTCGTCTATAAGGCACCTTCAAATATTATGGGAGATGGTCCTTCGTTATGTGGCGATCTTATTATGGAGATTGATGCTTATGTGGCCAGTTTGGATGGCAGGTTCTGCTTTGGATGAATTGCATAAAAAGGTGGGAAATCTACCCTTTTTTATAGGAACGGCTGACTCATCTGCACAGGACAGTGAGTAGCTCTAGTCAGTCCAAAAAGGAAGTTCGTTTCCTCCCTTTCTTGGAAACGAAGAATGTACATCCTTTTCGTTAAAATTTTGTCAAAGAATTAAAATATTTTATGATATTTTAGTAATTAATCTAATTAACCCGTGGATCTCCCATTATTGTACAATTGGTTTAGTTTTTATTAGTTTTTCTTAGAACAGTGATTAAAAATGATTTATGTAACTACTTCCCATGTATAAGAAAAATAGTTGCCCTAAAAATTTTTAGGGCAACTATTTATTTCTGCCAATTGTTATTTCCTAAAAGTTATAATTGACTCAGTTTGACTAGCAAAACAATCACTGAAGTTTTTAAGGAGCCAGGAAATATCTTGTTTTTATTAGATGAAAGATTAACATTTTTGGAATGTTTATTATTCTATCATCAGACTGTTGTAGTTTAACAAAAGTTCAAATTTGGAATTTGTACTCTTCTGGCTCTGTTATATATAAGAGGGAAAGTATGGCAATTGGTCAAAAAAATGACCCCTCCAAGATTTTGAATTTGTGGACCTGAGACCTTGAAACATTGCAAAAACATTTGGGGTTTTTTTCCTGTATATATGGATGTTATAGTCTGTCTATGGTAAGAATCAACTTGGATATTAACCAATGAGCATCAGTCGTTGATCACTTAGTTGTGGCAAGTTACTTCTGATTTCTTCCTCATTTGTTAAACATGTCACTGCCATTATAAACAGTAATATGGAATTCACATTAAGCTTCATGTTCTGATATTGGAATACAAGAAAGTTCGCTATAGTAGTAGTTAAACACATGATTCTTTACATCATTCATTAACTTTACAGTTATGTTAATATTTTAAGCATTCATTAATTAACAGAAAAGCTGTTCTACCATCTAGTGAGAGAAAATAAAATAAAATTCACATATTGCCTGACATATTAAGTGGAAAGTGCTGACATCATTAAGAAATGCCCTGATTGGTTTAACTGAAACATCATCACTCATGACGCTTTCAAGTTGATTCTTTCCATAGACTGACTATTGTGCATATAGGGGGGCATGAATTTGTTCACCTTCTTTAAAGCTTAACTTCTGTGCTTTTTGTTGAAAATTTCTGAAATTTTGCAGGGAGGTTTATGTATTAGGGGGATTGTTGCTGTTAAATTTTGGTGGTTAAAGGTCAGTAAGGTGGCGAGATAGAGGGGGTTGTGTGTCATATCTTAAGTAGGGTCGGACTTAAGGTTAGTTTACACTGAGTGCGATTTGCTGGCAAAAGTTAAAAACAGAGCGAATAATCGGTCAAACATGACTTGTTTGACAGGTTATTCGCTCTGTTTTTCACTTTTGCCAGCGAATCATGCTCAGTGTGAACTAAACTTTAATGATGATTTTACTAATTACTAGTATTTACAATTTTTTTTATAAAATTCATCCCTACCCTCAAAATTAAGTTTTTTGCCAATTTTTATAATAATTAAAAATATAAAGTTTTTAAATACCATAACAGATGGTGCCATATGTAGTTTTAAATGTTGCAGAGAAAGTTAAACTCATTGCTGGGTTTTTCTTCTTGCTTATATTCATTTCATTAGGCATTGCTTAAAATCAATGGTGATGATGGTATCAAAATTCTAAACTCTGATCCAAACATTTTATCACATGATCTTAATACTTTAACATATTGATTCAAAATATTTAATCTTAGCAACAGCTTTCATGAGATTAATTTTATTTTATTTTTTCTTTATGTAATCCCATCTACAGACTTTTTTTATCATTCAATATGCCATCAAATGCATAAGTTCTGTCAATGATTTTGGAATTGTCTTTGATCAAAAACTTTTTAATCCCAGTTTAAAACAATTTCCAAGAATCTCAGTTTGTAGATGTAATCCTAGAGAATTATTTTAAGATCATTATTTTTTGCCAGTTTCAGTTTATTATTGTACACTGTTTGCTTGTTTTAGCCTTGACCATATCCTGTCTTTTACAGAACATACAATATCAACTTTGCAAATTCATGTTGTTTGCTTTTTAATAGATTAAGCCATCTGCTTACCACTGATTCAAGAGAAGTAGTTTTTACTTGACTTGATTTTCCTTCTTTTAATAATAACGTACAACTACACACCGGAGTTTACTAAATATTACGTACCTCCGAAACCTTGGTTAAATGTTTCGGAGGTACGTAATATTCCTTCTTTTAGTTGTCATTTTTTATTTTTTGGCTGTATTACTTCTAAAATTTTTCAATAGTTATCCCAATTCCATTAAAATTTCCCTTGGCATCTTAGCTAGAACAACTCACAATTTTTCATGCATTTCTTAGCCTGATTTGACTTAATGTTTCTAGGTGATCATTTTCTTTTTTATTGTGTCATATCTTATTTAGCTGGGCTTGAAGATCTTATATTTTCCAATTTTATTGTTTTTAAGCATAATTGTAAAGTTTTCATATGTATTCTTAAATGTTCTTTTTATTTTTATATATTTTTCAAATTTTTTATTAAGTTTTTACTGTGTATTTTTTTTTCTAGCTTGAGGAGATTTGGTTCTCCTTTTTTATGTAATGTTTGTATTTTATATTGCCATAATTCATATTTGTGCAACATCATCTGCAGAAATACAAATTATAACATACTTTTTAAATTACAACTTTTTGGATCTCTTAAGAAACATTTTGGTGGTTACACTTTGATGATGATGAAAAAGATGTAGTCATGGACTGGTTCAGATCATTAAGTGAAAAATTTTTTCAGAAAGGAATGTTTGCTCTTGTCTCCAGCTGGGAGAAATGTTTAGTAAAGAATGACAAAATTGTAGAAAAATATCTTAGACTGTGTACTTTCAAATGGCTAATTTAATTTTTTTAATATAAATTGGGCTGCACTGTGAAAAAATTGTAGACCTATAAATTTCCACTGTTATCCATCTGTTGTCTTTCCTTAATTTCAAGAATGGAAATAGGTAGATGAAAGACAAGACTAGATATGAAAAGCTTAGGAACAGGAGGCCTCAATTAACTGTCTATGAACTTCCAATGCAAACTGCAAACTGGAAGTCATGTTATTTCAATTCAAAAATTTTCCTCTGAAGGGTGTTAGATATATGACCAGCACGACTCTATTGTTAAAGGTAAAGTATGATGTACAGGGGCAAACTGCCACTAATTTGAGATGGAGAGCATATATTTTAAGTTAAATAAACTAAAAATATGATTAAAAATTGCAGCCCAGTATTGTGACAATGTCACAATAAATAATTGCTCATTTGTTAAGTTGTCATAAAAGATTTTACTTTGGGACATACTCTGTATAAAATGATTAGGGATAAATATTTACTTCAATTAGAAAACATTAATATTTATCTAATTTTTACTGTTTTATTATATACTAGTAGTCTGGGACACCCTCTAGTGGGCGTTATTTACAAATTTCCATGAGGCACGGTTCCTTTGACTTTCTTGTTCCTATCAATTTGCTGTACAGCTCTGTTAAAGTCCCAATGGTAAGATTTACCCTCCAAATGAAGAGGTGGCGATCCCCCCCAAACTGTAGCCCCTGTGCGAACAATAAAGTCAAAGGAACCATACCCCTACTCGCAACCCTTCGCAAGATATAAGCCCCTGAAATAATAAATTCCTATTACAAATATACTGAATTATTTATATTGTTATATTGACCAAATAATAATTTATGGGCCAAATGAATAATAATAATTTATATTGTTAATTTAAATAATAATTAAAATTGTTAATTTGAATGTTTGAAATATGACACACGATAGGGGCGCCTCTAGTGTCCGTTATCAAACAGTTACGCAGACAGACACCCGTTGAATGGGTTATATATATAGATAATTAAATAAAAATGATCATAATTTTTTCTTTTTATTTTAAGGTACAAACAGATTTTCAACCTGTAGATGAAACAAAATTTTTTATTACAATTCCTGATGCAGATAATATAAATCATATAGTAGTATTTCTAACTGGTGCAATTCCTTTTCAAGATGGAATTGGTGGCTCAGGTAAATTATTATTATTATTATTCTTTTATTATATATTGTTTTATGATGTATATGTATATTTGTAAAACTGTGGTCACTTGTTTGGGTTTCATTATAGATATATGAAATATAAAATTTTAAGTTAAAAATGGATTTAATGTTTCAAAACCATAAATTTCAGTGTTAATTTTATAACATGGAAAATGGTTACTAAAAATAACTTACTTGTTAGGAATAAAAAGTGTAAAAAGAAATTATAATAATGAAGTATTCTTTAAGTGTTACAAGTTAGAGTAAAATAAAGTTTGTTTTATTCTAGTGTTTAATTTCTAAAGATAGGTTTTTCAACAATATGGAAAAAGTTAGCTATGGAAAAATTAGCTAAATATTTTCACTTCAAAACAAATACAGTGGATGATTGGTTAACGAACAGTTTGGATAGTGAACAAATCAGATAATGAACACTTTTGCGAAAGATTTTTATGTTCGGAAAATGAACACTTCACAGAACAAACATAAAAAGAAGTGACAGAAAATAACTAATACTGATTGATTTTCCCTTGTCTTCAGGTAACAACTCAAAAACCTTTTGGAGTGTGGGAGACGTCAACATCGACGCTCAACTTGATACTGATTGGCTGGTATTTCCCAGAACTTTGAAACTCTCCATTGTAATTCCAGCTTTTTGTTTTCTTTTCTGACAAATAATTTTTTATAGTCTTTGTGAGACTATTGGGCACTCGTTAAGTTTTGCATAGGTTTTTATTTTCTAAAGGTGAGAGAGTTTAACTGTCCTATCAGATATTCATTAACGTTTTAACACCAAAATTTTGAATTTCATTCGGGCCTCACATTTCCATAAATCTTTTGTGCGCTAGTTGATTTCTGTTCACTGAATTTTTGTGAGTGCTTTTCTGAACTTTTTATTTCAAAAAGACATTGATAATATTATGGAGCCTAAAAAGAGTGGTGTGTCAAGAACTGTGCTCACCTTAGAAGCAAGATATAATAGCCAAGGTAGGTGTGCACAGTGGGCAGATGTCTGATGGTGCTAGGCTGTATGGCTTGAACAGGTCTACAGTAGGCACAGTCTTGGCTAAGAAAGATATAATCAAGAAGACTTGAGCTTGAGCAGCTAAAGGAGTAATGAAAATTACATCTTAGAAACAAAGATGTGCCATCTATGAAAAAATGGAGAGATTGTTTTTAGTTTCTTAAATTAACACTCCAAAGCCTTTAAACGTCCAGTAGTAAACAATTTAATAGTAAACAAACGTTTTCGACCTACTTTCGGTCTTCATCAGGTTTAAAAACCAGTTAGATTCGAACCAGTGCAAGCGTAGAACAATGATTATGAAATTACTTTGAAAAATGGAACAGCACAAATGGATTTTAAAAGAATACAGTTATGCATGTGCATTGCCATGGACGTGCATAACTGGACGTTTAAAGGTTTTGGAGTGTTAATTTATATGCTTTCCAGTATTCACGTATGAAGATTTTAAGTTTAAGTTTTAGTTTTTTATTACATGTAAATAAACATAGTAAGAAAGTATATAATTTTTTATTTATTTTTTGGGGTTTCCAGAATGAATTAATCAAATTCCCATAAAAATCTATGTTAAATCAATAATCGGTTAAACAATTCGGATAGTGAACAGAGTCTTGGAATGATTATGTTCGTTAACTGATCACCCACTGTATGCTTTAAAGTGAAGTGTTTAAGATTAATTTTGAAGATGTAATAATTTGCTCTAAATGCATAAATCATAATTTCAATTCACACAATCAATATCATTATACTAATAACTATTTGAATTTGTTATATACTGAATTATGTAATCAATATTTCAAGATTAAATTGATTTTTCATTTCTAATATTTGATCATTTTTTTTAATCATTTAAAGTTTCATGAGATAAACTTTGAATAGGTTGACTTTTGATATTGCTTTAAACTTATTTGCTAACTAGTTTAACTGAATGAAGTGCTATTGAGAATACTAAAGTCAAATACTATATTACTATTACTAGTATTATTAATTAAATGCTAAGTAATTTGGCACTAGAAACAGGCATTAGGTTCCATCTCTTGCTAAATTTAATAATTATAATTAAATTAATATTTTAATAATTAATTAAAGAGAGGTTCTGGAAGAAAAGAATTGGCCTGAAGCAGTATGTAAATAACTAAGTATGGTCATATCCAAATAAGTTCTGGAGTGAGGATCAAATGAAGGGCCATGTAGCATAACTAGCAATGTAACCACACAGTAAGAGGGAGTTGTGGGTTTGAGTCTTGCTTTAAGCTGATTCTTTTCTTCCAGTACCTTCTAAATTAATTATTAGATATTAATTTAATTGTAATAATTAAATTTAGCAAGAGATGACACCTAATGCCTCTCTCGAGTGCCAAATTACTTAGCATTTAATTGAGAATAATAATAATAGTAATATAGCTCAATATAATCTGGCAATCTGGTTTTAGATGTTTATATTAAGAATATCTTTGATGATGATAATTTGTCATCAGAATATATAATAAAGTAACATGCTTAGAAAAAAAACAAAATTTTAAAATTTGGAGTTATTTTATATCTACTGAAAATATTTTTATTTTGAGACTATAATATTAAGTAACTGAAGCTTTATTACTCAATAATAATCTTTAAATTTAGTGACATTTAGAGGTATGAGAGATGTTTTAATGGTATCAATAAATATAACACTGTAAATCGAACACTTAATACAAAAAAAAATTTTTTTTTTTGTATTAAGTGTTCGATTTACAGTGTTTGTTCTTTATTTAATCGTATTTTCTTGAGAAAGGTCTTTTAATAAGACCGAAAACGNTTTACACTGACGTCATTCGCAACGGATTATAAGCCAGTTCGAAAGATTCAAAAAAGAGTTATTTGTATTAAGTGTTCGATTTACAGTGTTTGTTCTTTATTTAATCGTATTTTCTTGAGAAAGGTCTTTTAATAAGACCGAAAACGTTTGAAGTTTTCTATAAATATAACTTAGGTACAAAACAAGATACAATAGAGCATCAATTATCCGAATCAATTGGGGACTTTGGTTGTTTGGAAAATCAATTTTTTGGATAACTGATTATGCACAAAAAAAATATATTAACCTATCCCATGTTGAAATTCATTCAAATTTTGGCACGTCCTTAAGTACCCTCTCATGGTCACACCAGTGCTGCCAGCTAAAACATGCACACCAACAAAAATAATATTGGAGTAGCCCAAGACATAGCCAAAGATTGCAGTGCCACAGCACTAGCAGCAATTTAAATTTGCTGACTGGAAAGCTTTCAGTTAATTGACGTTTCAGTTGCTTGACATTCAGATGATCGATGCACTACTGTACTTAACTTATTAGATTGTTGTTTACTGTCTTCTTTGCTTAAAATATCTTGAAGCTTTAAGAATTTCATGTCATTTATTTTCTCATCTTTTATTTATGATATGTAGATAACATATTTATATAGTTCTGGAGATGACAATTTCTTTTTACAGATAAAATCAATTGCACACAATAAGAACCAAAGTTTATAAATTTAGATAACTTCTAATGACAGTTAGAATTCAATGTCCAATTTAGATTTAACATTGAGATCAAGACATAAAATCAAATTTAGGTTTTTTAGGTTCTTCCATTATTTTGGAATAATGGAAGAACCTAAAAAAGCTTTTCAAGCAAATTTTTGTGCTAGAATCTTTCAATTACATTAATATTTTAATTTATTTGATTCATTTGAGTAAGAGGTGTTTGTTAAAGTTGAAAATTCATTATATAATAAAGCAGGTTTTCTGAATGAGCATGTTAAGAAATTAACAAATTAATTAATCTGTTTTTACTTGTATAGAAACATTTGTATAATTAAAATTAAGTATGTATGAGAAGTTTAATTTCACAGAGAAGTTTTTTTAATATATTATTGCTTATGTACTCACCATAGTTTTGAGACTGTAATAAACATACAATCAAAATCAACAAACAAATATTTTTTGGAAATACACTTTAATTGTATCTAACTAAACAAATAGGTAAGATTCTTGAAATGAAAACAAAATTTAAATTTGACAAAAACAAAAAATTTTCTATTTATTCATCTTAAGATAATATATGAAGACATCCTGTTGTGACATGAAGTAAGTGTGGTGACAATTGGATTTGAAAAAATAATATCTTATTAGTTGAATTACATATAAAAAGAATTTTCAAATTAACAGTGTGTTAATATTCACATATGACATATGGATCAAATTTTGTCTGTTAAATTGAGATTTTACTGTAATTTCTTAGGTAAAGTACATAAAATTGTTTTGTCCTCTGAATTAGAAGAGTTGAAAGAATTCTCCTTATATTCAGGCCTCGGCAACCTATGACCCACAGATCACCAAGTGACCCATTTCATAATTTCAAGTAACCCACTTGAGTTCCGAAAATAAAATATAATACAGTATATAAAATAAATTATAAAACATAAATATGAAACAAACACTTGAAGAATACATAAAAAAAAAAATAAAGTGAATGTAAATAATAACTATCATTTTTGTATGATTACAAAGTTGCAGTAATGAATATGCATTTTTATTTTTAAAATATAAAAATTGTACATAATTTCAAGAAGAAATCAATAAATTTGGCAATGCCGATCCATAATTCCTTAACAGACGTGTGGTAATACTGGTGAGACTATTTTAAAATGAAAATACCACTGACCCAAAACGTCGTCTTAATACACACAGTATGGTTGATTTTGACCCACAGACAAAAAAGGTTGCCAACCCCTGTATTAAATCAACTTTGGCCATTTTGATTATGCAGAACAAATTTAAGTTTACATAACTAATTTCTGCAGTCTGTCAATTTTACATATAGATTATATTAATGTATAACCTAGGTTTACTCATAAATTTTAGATTAGTTTTATTGAACTAAGATACTAAGATTAAAAAAAATCTTAAATCTGGTAAGATAAGTTTATTAATGCTTTTTTAAAAAACCATCTTTAAAGATATTTTAAATATTTATTTGAATAGATCTTATAAAACATAAGCTTAGAAATGCCATATTTTATATTAATTTTTTTCTTTTTTGGAAGTAATTCCTTCAACATGAACTAAATTTTAAAGAAAAGTTTGATATTTTCCAGACAATTGTTCTCAATCCAATTTAAGGAGGATTTTACCAAATGATTCTAATCTACTTAAGACCCTGAAACACTAGGCAATTTCTTACCCTGTAGACATATCTCTGAGCAACAAAAATTTGTTGACGTTGGAGATCTTTGGGCACACAAGGAGAAAATTTGCCCGAGTTATACAATCGACATTTCTTACTTGGCAGTTGTAAATTTTCGCTAATGGTGTGAAAGTATGTATCTTTGAATATATTGTGATATTCTTTATTAGTGTGGTTATACCATAAATTGGTATAACCATACTAATAAAGAATTGGTTCATACAATTTAATTAATGAAATTAAATGTCATGTCCTATCAATCATCCATGAGTGACTATCCTCCATTTTTATTTTTGTATTGTAAACAAGAGCTGTATTTATGTAATAAATCTATGTGCGATCATTGATTATAGTGAGTGACAGGAGGTGCTTTGTTTCCCTAAAGTCAGTGATTTAACTCCCTGACAACTGCTCTCCCATTGCCTGAGAAACAGGTTCTTTTTGTCACCTTGCAACATGTCTCCCACAAAAATTGCTTAGTGTATCGTGGCCAATAGAGGTAAAACTAACATCAGGAATAAACAACAAACTGTGTTGATGCTACAAGCAAAATTAACATTTGGTTTAATGAACATTAGTATTTTATATATTAACATTGTAATCACTTCATGTAAACTAAGTATGTTTAGCAAAAAGTTTTTAGTCCTTCTGAATGGCACCAAATTATTAACACCTTGCTCATATTTTACAATTACTTTTTCTTAGGAAACATTAGACTAATGGAGGAAGCAATGATCTGATGATAATGTTTGGTATATACAAAGATGATATGGTCAGTTGTAAAAACAAACTTTACAGGAGATGTAGGCAACTAGTATCTCTTGTCATATTATGACAAATATGAGGAAAAACACATTTTCAAGCAGAGATGTAAATAATAGCTATTTATTATATTATTTAGTAAATAATAGCTATTTATTTGTCAAAGTGCTATTTAGTGGACACACACTAACAGTTGCAATCTGATATTTTTAAATACTTATTTTCACTCCCATAGATTCTTTGGAACAAATGAATTACAATGAATTTTGGAAACAGAATATCAGTGTCCATAAAATTATAGTGCAACAATACATCTGAACAATCTCTATAATCAATCTTGGCTAGATCACCAGATTGCGCTTTTAAAAGTTTTAATTTCTGATCATTCAACATCTTAGTCATTAAATTTAACCAAAAATGAAATATTAAGATTAGTAATTTTTATAAAAAGGAATTATTCTGAAATTATATTTCATATATTTTAGTGTATTATTCTGTTTACAGAATAATACACTAAAATTGTATTATTAAAAGTGTTATTCTGTTTACAGAATAATACACTAAAATTATTTGTTGACGTTTGGAGATCTTTGGATTCATTTTTCTATTTTTAGTTTTACTTAAAATTACTGTGTAACTGTTACAACTGTTATTTTTATGCAACTTATTTAAATTTCAAAATATTATTCTATTTAATGCCCAGATTCCTATTCCATTACTTGTGAAGATGATATAGATGAGTATATTGAAAATGCTTGAAATTAAGGTTCTAAATATTTTCATTATTAGTTCTTTTATTGTATTTTACTATAAGATGATTTTTAATAATAATCTAATTACTACATGATGATTGTTTTAAATATTTTTCTTTTTGAAATTTCTGATCTGCAGAGAAATAGAACAAAATAATCTTTGAAAATGGATAAGAGAACGATCAAAGTGCTTGAAGTTTCAAGAATAATGCTTGGAGATGATGAAAAATTAATTTATTATTAGTATTCAGTAAATTCAGTTATGTTTGCAAGTATTCAGAAAAATTATCACAGAAGATTTTTATTTCATATTGGCATCATGTGCTAGTGGATTGTAACTACTTGAACTCCTTAAAGATGTACAAATAATAATGATGGTGATGATATTATTATTTTTGGATGATAATTTCATAATTTATTTCAGATATATAATTTTACTACCCTATAGGCACTAAGAGTACCTTTTTCTATGCCCATTATGGGTTGACCCAGTTCACAATAGGGCAACTGAATATTAAGGGATGAACCCTGACACATCCAGGTCCACAAAAAAATTCATGGGGAGTTGCTTGCCTAGATTCAGTCCTGGGTCCCCAGAGTTTAATATAATAATCATCAGGCTTTAAGATGTTTATATATGTGGATATTCTAGTACTTTATCTTTGTGTCAGTCAATGATCACTCATGCACTATACAGTACTGTGTGCACTGTGACCACATGTATGCTGTTCATGCAGCAATCTATCAGGGGCTTACAACCCCAGTGCATGTTGATTCATTGCCTCTCCACTGGTGCAAGCATGTGATGATGGTCTGGTAACATAGACAGCACTAGAACATGTAGGAAGCCTCCCTGCTTTATTAATGAACCCACATGTCTTTCTATTTAAGGACTGTTTAGCCCAGTGGCTTGTGTTTCATTGCTGCAGAACTAGTCATCTGCTGTACAACCTTGTCTATTCAACTTTTGCATAGATAGGCTAATTCCTTCCTGGTGTTGAAATTTTAGTTTTGAGCAGTGTATTACAGATTTAGTTTAAGTTAATTTCATTCAGTTTTTGTTTCCATTATTTAAGATAATTTTTAATGATTCAAGTAAGTTGTTCAGAACAATAAAGTTATGTTATCAAGAACTGGGTGTGATTACCTGTTTAAATTTAATAATTTAAATATTGGAAATTAGATATGTTATAATTAATTCAATTAAAAAATATGTATCATTGCTTAAAGCTTGCCAGTTTCATCATTTAATGACTTAAGCGATCTCTACATTTCATTACGTTATCCTTTGCCCACTTCATATTGCTATATTCAATAACTTTTGAAATTGCTTGAAAATGTACACTGTTTATTTCTACTTAAAATATTTTCTAAATATTGTTGCTCATTTAGGATGTAGGATCATTCAATAAGAATCTTAAGTTGGATAATTTAAAGTATTTTTTTTTATATTGCAAGAAAAATAACAAATTGCTAATCTATTTTGAATTTAATAATAATTTATTGTATTTGTTTTTTTGAAAGGAAGTTATTAGTGAAACCTGATAAAGTTTGAGATTTTCTTCTTAAAACGAAAATAGCTTATTTGTAGTATAACTTAAATTTTGAATTGTATTTTATCTTACATAAGAATTATGATAGTTCTATGAAAATCTTTAAAGAAATCTTTAATTGTAAATTGCATTATTAAATTTACTAATTAAAAATGTTTTAGAAATATTAAATATTTTTTGCTTTTTAGTATATTTTAGTTGGCCAGATCCTGTAGCTCCACCAACTTGGCAATTTCTTGGTTACATATCCAATCAGAAACCTAGTGCAATTTTCAAAATTTCGAAACTGAAAACAGGTATGCAGTTTTTAAGTAAATACAGTATAATTAAAATTGTAATATATTACAGAAATTTTAGTAATTCAAAAATTACTATCTATATATTATAAACTTATATAAATGTAAATATTAAAATAAATTTAGAAAGGTTAAGGATGGTTTAAATCTTTCTTCAGCATCTACATTGAACAGATATATTGCAAATTCCAGGTTTCTTGAATTAGCTCTCTTTCTCCTATAAGAAATTTTACATGAGCATATAACTATTATTTTATTGTTAACCAATGTGTGTACATTTCATATTGTGTGTACATTTAAAGGCATTCAATTAACCTTGCTGTTCTGTTTTGACCATATGAGGGTATTTTTCATATTAAAATAACCTATCCTTATCCACTATAAATTATGAGAAAAGATGACTAAATAGATATGTTTTGTTAAGAAGATAGTACAGTAAAACCTGTCCAAAACATAACTTGAATAAACTGGAAACCTGCTTAAATGGAAAAAAATTCTTCAGATTGGAGCATTTTTCTGTTAAATTTTACTATAAGCTGGAAAGTGCTCCAATATAGAAATGAGAGAGATGTTTTTGGTTATGAAGAATGTAATTTAAACTGAATAAAACAGAAAATTAAGATTGTAATCTATTCAAATAAGTGAAATTGCTTCCAGGTATATAGTCACCACAGAGGTTGGCAAATTGTATTTTGAAAACAATTTCAAACCATGTTAGAGAAATGGTCATGTGATAAGCTGACATACAATCTTTAGAATTAACCAGAGGCAAAATAAAGTACTTCTAAGAACTGAGAATCAGAATGAATGATTTCTAAAAACAAATAATAAATTAATTTATGAAAATAATGAGAATAAGGTAACACACATTGTCAATTTCTGTTTTACAGTTTTTTTTTACTTTTTTCATCTTGTGGTTACTAAGGTCTTTTAATTACTGTTTGTATCATCATCATCATCTTATGGCATTATGAGCCTTGGCGGTCCTTAGCTACAGTCACAATCTTTCTCCATCTCGTTCGGTCTATAGCCTGCCTCTGCCAATCCTCGATTCCGAGGTCTTGAAGATCTTCAGTGACATCATCTACCCATCTTTTTTTTTGTATCATAGGAAAGCAAATTATACATCTAAATCATACATTGGACAGTGTTGATTATTTGAATGGAAAGTGTTACATACAGTAAAAGTTAAATTTTCCAAATGTGCATGTGAGGACCCAAACGGGGTCCGAAAGCAGGCCAATAACGACTTTTTAAAAGAGTCAATTTTCGTAGTGCGAAAGAGCGAACTTAAAGATCGGATTTAAACAATGAACCTTTTGTCTTGTTAAAAGATTTTAAACAATAGATAGAGTAAAGTCGAGGAAAACGAGGTTGGAGAGGAGTCGTGTTCCGACGCGACGTTGAACTCTCCCGCGCCCTTCCTGGAGTTTCGAATTGTCACCATGTGACGAGGAGAGACCAATGGAGAGGCGACCGCGGTGGAAAAATTGATAAAACCGCGTTTTCGGGAACTTTACGGAGTCTTGGGTTTTGGTGCGTAGCGCTACCCTGCTGGGATTTGGTGCTCACGACAGAGACACAACGAAGGCTCTTTCGACGCCCTAGGAGCTGGTTTCGACAACCCGTTCTGTCCAGAATCGCCGAGGTTCAACTCGTTAACCGAGGACATCGCGACAAGTGCTGGTGCGTGCTCCGGGGACATCGTTCTCTGCGTCCGACGTGCGAAACACCCAAGGACCGATCGAACTGTCGAACTTTTCCGTGTTGTTTGGGAACTGTTTTAGTAACCCATCGTGGGATAGGAGTTCGCCTGACTTCTTGACTTGTTGTAAGAACAATTTATGTATATTATTAAACGGTTTTATATGGTAAACCTGTCTCGGTGAGTCATTCCGCGTCCACACGACAGAATTAACCGCTCGGCTGTCGAAAACACCTCACCCCTAATCGGCTGGCCTCACATGCATTTAGGTGTATAATTTGCTTCACTATGGTAAAACCAATAATTTAATTTTGTAAATGGCTTAATTACCTAATGTTGGGATTTTACCAATTTGTTTTACTAAGGTTTAGATAAATGGGATATTTTGTTTGTATGTATGTAATTTTAGTTATTGCTTCATAATGTATGAGTACTAATAAGTGAAATGTGTGGACTATCACTATAATCTGTAAAATCTTTTTGGAAAAACCAATTGATAAGGACCATAAAAAGGTCAAAATGCATTCTGGTGTAGATTTTTAATACAATTTGTCAATAAAACCATAATAAGCTTAGTGTGATAAATCAGTGTTGTAGATACACTGATCCTAATTGTATAACAACATAGTTTACAAGCATAGAAAAGACCATTTATATTTCCATAAAAATTTTACTGTGGCTGATATTTTTATCACTATATTTTGTTTATTATTATCTAGTTTTCTATTATTTCTTGATGGAAAATATTAAAAAATTATCTCATCATTGAAAAATTTTTGATTAGAGCTTTTATATTAAAATCTGTAAATATAATAAGATATCTAAAATAGATTAATTCATAATATAAAATTCGTTTTTTTTAATATATTATAGACAACATACAAGCATTATATTTTCTTAGATGTGTTAATAACCATATATAGCATATGTCAGTGGTTCACAAATTTTTTAAATTTTAGGCCCCCTTGCTAAATGCAGATTTTCCCAAGGTGCCCTATGTCAAATTCTAGCATTATAAAAATTTTATAACATTTTGTGGCACCCCTGTGAGGAAGCTGCAGCACACACTTTGGGAACCACTGGCATATATAGTTAAAATACTGTATTGTCATGATAGAGATTAAATAAATTTAAAATCAATATTTTAAAAGTAAAAATAATTTTAAACTGTATATTAAATAATATTTATTTGATGCTAACATAAATAATATATTATGAATTTTGTTTTACAGATTCTACAACAGCAAATCCATTTGCCCCACAACCAGTCTCGCACGTTGCACAAATTGGAATATCAGTAGAACCACTAGTTCATATACAAAGTCAAATACCAGTAACAGATGATAATGCAGCTGTTAGTAATTTTATGGAATTTGCTACAAAAATGCTTGAAAACTTCTTTAATTTTGCATCTTCATTTGTAACAAATCCAGCAGCAGTTGCACTAAGCCCAACTGAATTTATCCCAATAAGTGTTTTTCAACAATGGTATACAAACTTTCAAAGACGACTCCAAACCGATCCAAACTTTTGGAAATAAGAATATTTGTTGTGTTAATATTATCAAGACCAAATGTTTCAATTACTGAATAATTTTTCTAATGGGTAATTTTCATTAAACTTTAAAAAAATCTGTATTGTTTTATATGCTGTGTACTTCCAGAAATATGCAATCATTATGTTCTTAAAACTAAAATAGATCTATATTCACGTGCTTAGATGAGCAATAATAATTTTTGCCATCAACCAAACAATATCAAAGGGTTGTGAATTAATTTCATTATTTCTTTACTGGTTAAGTAAAATTTTGATGTTGAATTCCAATTTTAAGTTTTAGCTTCATACATTCAATTTCTAAACTTATTATATGTATATTTTTAATTACTTGAACATTGACGCTAATATTTCTTTGAATATAATATATTATATAAAATTTCTTTTCTAAATGATAGTATGTATTTTATCTCCCTAATCAAATATTCTGTTCAAATGCTTAATGATAAAATGTAAAATTTCTGCTACAAATATTGCAAAATGCTATATTTTATTATATTACATTTAATGCTACTATATAATATTTATGTATAATTAATTGTAAATCTTGTAACTGATATTCTGTAGTTGAAAAAAGTATTAATACTATAAAAATTTGAGTTTTATAAATATTTAGTAGAACAGAAATTATTTTTAATGAACTTCTGCTTCCATATACCATACACTAACCTTTCAAAATAATAAAAAAAATGTAATTTTCTCACAATGTTTCTTCAGCTTTTACTTTCACAGCTGTTATAACACAGGAAAGTATTGTGATTGTTTCAAATTTGACTGCATGGGGATTTTTCAAATCTGGATGTTTTGAGACCCGAACCCAAAGTCAAAAACGAGAAAAAAATTCCATGGCCGTATTGGTATCTATTTTTTAATATCTCAGCATGCCAAATTTCATTTCTTAATTTTTATCCTAACTTATATATAAGTGACATTGATGCTATTAAAGTTTGGAGTATGGAACTCAAGGGGTTGGAGAGATTGGGGAGTTGTGCATCATACTTTGAGTAGTAAAATTTTAATGAAAATTTTACTTGTTATTGGTATTTATAATATTTTTAACTCATCTCTACTCTCAAAATTAATTTTTTTAATACTAAATAATATAAAACTTACTTTTTAATATCATTTCACACTCAATGGCACCACTAGTTTTAACTTTTATGCTAGTGTCAGTGTTTTTTCTTTTTTTAGTATATAAAGATTTAGATTTTGTCCTAGGAAATTTTTCTAAAATATTCAAGGATTTAACCCTCCCTAAGTTTTCAAAAATTGAGTTTAACAAGTGTATTGCAAACTTTGCTAATGAAGTTAGGAAAGTTATGCAAGTCATTACTGGATTTTTGTATTTTATAGCATCTACACTAAGTTAAAAATCAAATTTCTAGTATTTAGTCATTTTTTTATAGTGTCCATTTGTTAGCATAGATATTTAGCTATGAAATTGATCAATTAAAATTTTATAGTTAACTATCAGACCCCGCCAGGCGTTGTTGTGGCTCAAAATGTATCTATTATAAATTTATAACACTTCCCCCATGGGGGGAATTTTTCGAAAAATTTCTTCTTAGCGTACATTCTCTTGACATACCCTATTAAAACACAATCAAAAACGCAAAAACCCGCATCTAAAATAGTATAAATAGAAGCAGAGTTCTTTACCGTAAGCCTTAATCCTAACCATCTCCCTTCAGTGGGGTTGAATTTCAACATGTATATTATATAAAAACACGTGCATATTCGAATGCAGCGTTATGTCAAAATTTCAAAGGAATCGGTGGGAACAAACGAACATTACATTTTTATTTATGTAAATAGCTAGAAGATGATCTGCATTAGTTCATTTTCACAGAAAAGCAAACTTAGGGTGTCGTACTCTTAGCTCCATCTGTTGGACATAAAAGCCTTAACCTAGATTATATCTTTTAATTTATATGAATGTTTAACAGAATAATATACAGCCTATGTCCACCCTGAAGTTCCATTCTAAATATTAATAAAAGAATTTTTGAAATTGGATGAGTAGTTTCGGAGATTACCTGCTGCATACAAACTAACTTACAAACATTACCTCTTTATTATAATAGTATAGATTTGCAACAGAATTATGTGATTGTATGTATTAAGTACAGTTGGGTGCACTGGTACAGTGTGCAATTTGTGCAATGCAAACAGGTTCCAGGATAGTAGAGATACCAAAGATTTCAGGTGAAAAGAAAATACAGTACTGTAAAAAAAATATTAATTTTTTACCATCTGGAAGAATTTGTCACAATTCTTCTGGTTGGTAATTTTCACATATGTATTAGAAAAGACATTTAAAACATTAAGAATAATACAATAGAAATTGGTTATTTGACAAATTAGATTTAAGTAATATAAATTGAAAAGTTTGCATGTTTAAAAGCAAGAAAAGTTAGGATGATGTAATTATTTAAATATATCATAAAATAATTAAAATATACTTAATATCAAATTACATTTTTAATTTCCCTTTTTATCTTATAAAAACAATCTATTCCATGATTGTTTACAAGGAGGGAGGAGATTCAGGAAACTGACCTTGCCAGCAAAGCATTCATATGAGAATATTAAAATATTGATGCAAACAATTTAACAATAATTTCCTTCAAAATGCATGCACCCACTCTCCTCCCCCACCCTTAAGAAATTTGTTTTAAAATATTATACATAGAAACTATAAGTTTATATACACACACACACAGCGTGTGTGTGTGGTGTGTGTGTGTATATATATATATATAAGGTGCACTACATGTCAGTGCCACCTCTGGGAGGCCCCATGTACAGTGTTGACTTCAGACATTTTTCTTTAGGAGAAGTTCAAGTTCAAGACTGTCTGTGCAAAAAAAAAACTAAAGGACAATTTTATTAAATGAGACAAGATTAAACATACATTTATGAACAATGAAATGCAATCTGCAAGAAAAATAAACAATATAATTAATAGTTTTTTTATTGCACTAAATAATAATAATGACTAAAACAGGAATTACTCGTAGAATGCTATGTTCTTATAAACTATAGTCATTTAATATAACATAGAAAAAACATTTTATAAATTAAAAGAACTCTTAAGAAAACAAATTTGTATTTACAATGAGAATTTAAAGAAAAATTACAAGACATTAGAGGGATGAAGAATAAACAAAATATTTTATATCTTCACTTTTCATATTTTATGAACTGAGAAATTGTCACGTGGTTCATTGTAATTGATCCTGTTGAAATTTTGTCCTGAATGTATAATAATGCCAAATTTTATAATTTTTCTTGTCCAGTTGAATTTCTAATATAATTTTTAATTTTTTTGAGGAATAAATGATTACTAGTGCTTTGGAAACAGGAAGTGACTAATATATTTTAAAAATGATGTCCACAAATGCATTTTTACATTGGAATATCAAAATTCAAAAATAGAATTGCTGAAAATTGCCTACCTTGCAATGATTATTACTAATTCTGTAAGTAATATTTCACATTTGATAAAAATATTACACAGAAGTTTGGATTATACAGGAAGTTTTGATAATACATAAATACAATTTTTATACAACATGAGAATTAAGTAAATATTCATGATTTTACAGTTAAAAATAAATGTTATTAAGATCAGTTTGTTGGCTAATGTTAAATCATAATGATAAAATTCACAACACACAATTTAAGTCAAATAAGCCAAAGCCCTTACTCCTAATAATTGTTGTTTTAAAGATTAAGTCCATTTACAAATCCTGTCACATCCAGAATTTGCACAAGGTAAACTGTCACATCTGGGTTGTTAGTCAAATCCAGGTATTTTTGTCTAGTCTGAAATTGAGATCACAAATTGATAATATAATTCCCCTTTCACAACTAACAATTGAGAAAGACTGACAAATAATTTCCAAATTTTGCAATGCCTCTATTTGTTTGTTTTTGGCATTGCCATACTAGGTCTATAAAATTAAATTTAAGTTTAAATATTTTGTCAGTGAATGGAGAATGTGTAATCTGTCAAAATGTGCATTTACTCAAAAGGCCATTCATAAGACAGATAAGGTTTGGATTACTTGGCCTTGCTGAAGCAACAGCAACAGAAGTTCCAGTTTATCTTTGGAAAGGTCTTTCAAACGTGCTGAGAATTGGCTTTGATCTCCAACTCTCATTTCCGCCTCAATGAAAGCCAAGATAGAAGGTTTGAGAAAGGCTTTGTCCCAATATATCTTGCAGTTCTGCTGCTTTGTTTGGGATGATGCTTTGAGGTCTCTGAAGGAAGCCTACTGATGTTTGGATATTCTGACAATTCTGCAGAAACCCACTAACTTCTGCATTCCGTGGATGATGATCTGTCTCCTCTACTCCACTCACACATCTCTTCCTTCACTTGGAGGTCTATGTCCAAAGATCCTACCAATCCACCTTCAAAAACTTTTCACAAAAATTGCAAAGAAAGCACAGAAACAAACACTTTAATATGACAATCCAAAAACAGATATTGTTAGAGAGCATCAACAGTTGTTATCCATTGTCCATATAACTATTAATTTTGAAAATTGTTTTCTACACTTCATCAGGACTTATATGACTGATTTAAAATAATTCTAACACTTACAAGCTGATAAATTTCCCTTTATTAATTTCAAAAATATAAGATTTTGAGAAAGATCATCAGACAACAAAACACTTTAGATTTTGTATTCTGTATTATGATTGCTTGATGAAAATAAACTTTTATAAATACTTTTGTATGATAACAAGTCAACCTATATTTTCTTCTTTTATACATATACAGAATTTCAAGAACAAAATGCAAAGCTTTTCAAAGATTAATAGATTAATATCATTATGCCAATGATAAACATTGATATAAAAAAAAAATTGAAAAACTAAAAATAACTTAAAATCAGTCTAGAAATTAAATATGAAATATTAAGCTGTGAATAATACATTGATATGCAGGTATTGGTACCTTTTATAATCAGATACAATTTATGTGAAATTTGATAGTTCTCATTTTGTTCAATAATTAATAGCTAAATAAGAAAATTACAGCACACTTAAATTATTAATCCACTGCCATACAGATATATACAGTCAACCCCCCCCTATAACACTGTTGATTATTCCGTTTTATATGAATTCCATGTTTTACGAGTCACTTAGATTTTACAAATGTGTGCCGGGCTATGAACAGCTCATGTATTTGTAAAATCTAAGTGACTTGTACATCATGGAATTCATATAAAATGGAATAATCAACAGTGTTATAGGGGGGTCAACTGTACTACTTTATCCAAATTGAATGCTTTCTTTTTAATCAGTTACTTGAAGTAAAATTCTGCTTAACTGAGTGAATTGTGAAAGAGTACTTTGTCAGCATAGATCAAAAGATGTTTTAAAATCACTCAGACAAGATTTGTGAAACTAATTCTCTTGAATATGGTACAAAGGATTTACTTTGGTGACTTTTTCAATATGAATTAAAAAAAAAATTAATGTTGCAATCATTATATGTGGTAAATGTTTATAACACAGAATTTTAAGTTTAATCACTTTGTACTGTAGCACATACTCCATAAAAGTTTTTGATCATCCAAGATGTCTACTTT